AGTTCTGAATCCGCCTTGTAGCCAAGGGGTCTCCGCGGTGCCGGAGATGTTCACATGTTCCCGGGTTTCGGCACCATATGTCCCGCACACTCTGTATTTCTCGGCCGGCAAGAAATCACACGCAGGACACTCGGATCCTTCTGCAGACAAGCTTTTAATGCATCTTGTGAGGGGAGAGCATAAGCTTACCAGAGCGGAGACACTGAACCAAGAAAACCATCCCGTATAAAGGCTGGCCAGCCACCTGGGACGTGTTACCCTATGAATGGCTTCAGCTCCTCAGGCCAAATGAGCCACGGGATAGGCAGAGATCAAAGGAATGGAGATTACCCAGCGCCTGTGAAGTAATTTACATCTTGGTGTCTTCAGGCACCATTATTGTAATGGATAATGCAGGAACCGGCTCCCTACATGGTATCAGTGTAATTGTAGCCTTGTAAAAAGAGTTTGGCAGTGACCCTTCTGTTTCTATTGTGTGTAACACTTTGAGGAGTATTGGTATTAGCCCTTTGAATTTCTGTTCGAATTCTGCACTGAAACCACCTGGCCCTGGGCTATTTTTGTGGAGGAGACTTTTGATGACTGCCTCTATTTCATTAGGGGTTATAGGTCTATTTAAACTGCTTATCTGTTCTTTATTTAATTTTGGTAAGTGGTACCTATCTAGAAAATTGTCCATTTCCTTTAAATTTTCCAATTTTGTGGAGTACAGGTTTATTACCTGATGATTCTCTGGATTTCCTCAGTGTAGGTTGGTATGTCCACCTTCTCCTTTCTGATTTTGTTAATTTCCATACTCTCTCTCTGCCTTTTGGTTAGTTTTGCTAAAGGTTTGTTTATCTTGTTGATTTTTCTCGAAGAACCAACTCTTTGAGAATCTTTCATTGATTCTTTGTATTGTTCTCTTTCTTTGTACTTTATTGATTTCAGCCCTCCATTTGATTGTTTGCTGGTGTCTGCCCCTCCTGGTGAGTCTACTTCTTCTAGAACTTTCAGGTGTGCTGTTAAGTTTCTAGTGTGACTATTCGCCAGTTTCTTTATGTAGGCACTTAGTGCTATGAACTTTCCTCTTAGCATTGATTTCAAAGTGTCCCATAAGTTTGGGTATGTTGTGCATTCATTTTCATTGAATTCTAGGAAATCCTTAATTTCTTTCTTTATTTCTTCCTTGACTCAGGGGTGATGCAATTGAGCATTGTTCAATTTCCATGAGTTTGTAGACTTTCTATAGTGTATGTTGTTGAATTCTAACATTAAACCATGGTGATCTGATAAGATACAGGGGAGGTGGGTTATTCCAACTTTTTTGTATCTGTTGAGGTTTGCTCTGTTGCCCAGATTTTAGAGAAGGTTCCATGGGGTGCTGTGAAGATGGTATATTCTTTTATGTTTAGATGGAATGTTCTATAGATATGTTAAAACCAATTGAGTCGTAACTTCTGTTAGTTCCTTTATTTCTCTGTTAGGTTTCTGACTGGTTTTCCTGTCCAGTGGTAAGAGGGGTGTTATAGTGGGAGACTTATGTGTGATTTTATGTGGGGTTTTATGTGTGATTTAAGTTTTAGTAATGTTTCTTTTACAAATGTGGGTGCCTTTGTATTTGGGGCATAGATGTTCAGAATTGAGACTTCATCTTGTGGATTTTTCCTGTGACTGATATGAAATGACCTTTTTCATTTCTTTTGATTAATTTTAGTTTGTAGTCTATCATTAGGATAGCTACGGCAGCTTGTGTCTTAGGTCCTTTTGATTGGAAAATCTTTTCCTAACCCTTTACTGTGAGGTAATGTATGTCTTTGAAGTTGAGTGTGTTTCTTGTATGCAGCAGAAGGATAGATTCTGTTTTTGTGTCCATTTTGTTTAGCCTGTGTATTTTATAGGTGAATTGAGACAGTTGATATTACGAAATATTCAGGACCATTGACTATTTTCCTGTTATTTTTGGATTTGTTGGTGGGTGGTGGTATTTTGTGTGTGTTTTTTCCTTTTCTGGGTTTTGGTATCATGGGATTATTGCCTATGTTTTTGTGAGTGTAGTTAACTTCCTTGGGTTGGAGTTTTCCTTCCACTACTTTCTGTACAGCTGGATTTGTGAATATGTATTGTTTAAATCTGATTTTGTCATGAAATATCTTGTTTTCTCCATCTATAGTGATTGAAAGCTTTGCTGGGTATAGTAGTCTGAGTTGGCATCCATGGTCTTTTAGTGTCTGTAGAACCCTTTTTATTAAAAACCCATTTTGTTAAATGGACATTTTAACAGTTACTCTGGTTAACATTTTCTGTGTACATTTTTTATTTGGGGGATCATCAATACTTTTTAGATGATGCTTAATATAGACTGCCTTTTTAATTAGTTATGATCGTAAAGATGATCAAGCTGAAGAATATATTTTTCATTAATGAAGTCAGGGAAATTTTCATCTTTGTAAGCACAGGACTGTGTTTTTTAGGCTTGTGTTATTGGAGACTGATGACATAGATGCAGTCTTTTGCTGTCATTAGGTGAAACTGGAATAATGGTTGAAAATATGTTGAACATCTTTGTTGTTATTCAGTTCCTCTGTGTAGTTAGCAGTGTGACAGACTTGTTAATTGTGCAGCCAGACTGTTTTTAATGTGTTCTGTGGGTTGGGCCTAATTTTGAACAACAGAGTAATTGTCAGGACTTTTCTTGTGGTAAGCAGGGATAAAGTAGTCAGTCTCCTGGATACAATTCTTACTAAGATCTACAACACTTCCCTTCCAACCCCACTTGCTTAATCTTTCACAGTCATCTCCAATTAATACTAGATGCCTAGTGAACCATCATAGAATAGGAATCATTTGCATCTGTGAAATGTGGAGTTTGTTTGCTCTATTAGAGGGAACCGGCTGCTTTTAGTTCCAAATGCCTTTAGAATTTAGCCTTTGAGTTGCCTTGAAGTGACTAAAGCTTTGTTCCCTTCTCTTGGGTTTATGGCTATGTGAATTAGCTTAAAAAAAAAAGTATAAAAGTAATTCAGAACTTAGTTTTTTTTGTTTTGGGAGTGAGAAAAGAGGTTGGCATTGAAAGCTTTGTTTCAAAAGAAGGATTTTAGTTGCTTATGTCAACCATCTCATGCTTTCATTGAAAGGAAGCCCCAAATGTAACTAGTATGGGCAAGAGACTGAGTCCTCTGGTGGCGAGGAATCCTTGGTTCTGAGGAAGATTCATTCTTAGAATTCCATTTAGAAATCTAAGTAGACTTCCTCTCTTGTAAACTTCCTCTCTTGTAAAGATGTAGGTGGTAAGCAAAAGTGACCATAGTGTGTGTGTGTGTGTGTGTGAATGAATGGGCACAGCTGGCCTCCAGCGGAGCTTTGCTTGTGATGTAGAAATTAATAAAATAAGCAAGAGGCAGAGTATGGCCCATGGGTCTTAGTGTGCAGTTCATGAAGAACAGGATTAAACTTGTGTTTTTATGTGTGGGATATGAGGGAACAAATTTAGAGAATTTGGACTATTCTCAGTGTGCCTCAGACATCATGCTAAAAAATGATGAACATTTCATTGGCTTATGCCTTTCAAAATCATTTCCCAGAGAATGATGCTTGCATAAAACCAAAATATCGTTTGGAATATCCACCAAAGTTAATGATAATTCTTTTCCTGACCTTGATATCCATTGTGTTAGGTGCTTTGGAGTGCTCCAGTTATGGCCAGATAAGTTATGACTTATTTAGCGTTATGGTTCATTCTGACTTACGTTGCAGACTCTAGCACTAAGAATAAAACACAAGTGGCATTTACACTTCAGGAAATACTTTGAACTCAGTCTCCAAAATCAACATTCTGTTAACATTTATTACACTTAATCTTAGGTTTGACCTCATGATTTGGAGTTTTCAGTGTATGGCCTTTGGCTTCACTTATTCTGGGATTAATGTGGCCACAGGGTGGCATGGTTCCCTTACATATTTCATTGTTGATAAAGTGAAAGAGGAAAGAATGTCTTTCTCCAGTTCTTATGTTAAAATGGCCAGGTTTTCACTAAATTATTGTTTACATAGTTCATTATTAAGATTTGTAGAATATTAAATCCCAGTCAGTACTCCAAACTTTGTGTTAAAGGGTTTTTGTTGTTGTTGTTGTTAGTCTATGGTTATAACAAATTATGTTTATAATTGAGAAGAATGACATTTAGGGCTGCATTTTACAGACTGTATTTAATTATAAGCCTCATTTTATTAAAAAATCAGTTTATAAAAACTGATAGAAGAGTATTTGAAACTGGTAGATAAAGATGTTTTTCATCATAAATAATATCCAAAAGCATGTGCAGTTACTGGCATGATCCTTACCTGATTGTAAAGGCTTAATGGAAGGATGGCTAAAGGAAAATAGGGATCTTAGGTGGTCAAGAGGCACAGTTGTTTAAAAAAAGTGACCTTTTATCTTAATCGATGGAGAGTTCACTCTGTTCTGTGAATTTTCACATATCAACTCTAAAGACAGAAGACAGAAGGGTTGCTTCCATTTATACAGTCAAGGAAAGTTAAGTTTAATGGGCCTATGCTAATCTTTGTAGGTGGAATTTGAAGCACATTACTGTTTCAAGGCTTATCTAGATGCACTCACCTTTGTTGGGGAATAGCTAGACTTGGTAGTAATTTATAAGGTGTAGAATTTAGCGGGTTCCCAGGAACCTTATTAATGCAGACCTGTGGACTGTTTTCCGTTCATAGGGCGATTGTGTTGTTACAATTCTGCTTGCTGAAGAGGACAAAGTTGAAGATGATGCTATTTTTTACTTGATATTTTCCGGTTCTACCCTCTATCACTGCACAAGTACCCGGAAGGTCAGTTCTGATACCTTGGAGACAATTGCTCCTGGTAAGTATCTGAATGGAGTCTTTTTTAGCCTTTGTTAGTTATTTGTTAGGTTACCTTTTATTTTTTGTCAAGGGCTAGCTGTGAATAGCCAAGGCTGGCTGAGAAACTCTGTCTTCTGCCTCAGTCTCCTGAATGCTGGGATTGCAGGCCTATACCCCTATACTGGGCTTCTTTACTAGTAGTGACCCCTCTCCCACTCCTCCAGAGTAATAGAAGGAGCAAACCAGGGTACAACAGCTGTCGTTAGATGTTTTAAGTACATGATATTGCTTTTATTTGTCCCATACATGTCTGAACCTAACTAGAAGTAAAGGAAATAAAGTGATGTTATAAATTTAGCAGTATCAGGATCAACAAAAACCATTTTGTTGGATGTTGAGAGTTGGAGAAAATTGGGAGATACGTGGAAAGTATGCATTCTCATGATGATACTTAAGATTTCATTCTGAATATCATAGCAACAAAACAAATAAGGTATAACCTAATTAGTAATAAATACATCCCTTGTGTCTGGGATACAGAAACTTAGAGTGTCTTTCTCACAAGGTGAATTCCTCAGATTTGCAAACCATGGTCACCATGGGATGCAGGGTTACTTACCACTGTATTTGTAAATTTAAACAAACATTTAAAAATCCAATACAGGTTATCAGGGCAGTGCTATTGGATGGTAACATAGCAGTTATCTCTTTGACTGTCCAACATCTGAAGATACATTAATTTGTGTTTGGGGCTTAGTTTTTTCCTTAGTCTTCCTTTACAGTTAACAGTTGGGCCAGTTTTCACCAGAATTTAGAAGAGCACACTTAGAAGAATACTCCAAATAATCCTGATAGCTTCATTATTTCTTGTTAGAGAATACAATGAATGCAGCTCAAGTGCCAGCATGCCCCCGTGGTTCCGCTTTGTTCGTAGAGGTGGTGTTAAAATTATTACTTTAAGGAGCACTTGAAACTTACTGTGCCAGATAAGTCTGCCAGTTTCTTCTTCTTGTGCCATTTCCTATAAAGTGACCTTTTGCCCGGTACCTATGAAATTATGAAAATTATGCCCCCAGAGAACTGCTATTGTAGCAATTGCAGGTTGTTTTACTTTTACCTACTTTTGAGATTTATAGATTCCAGACAGTTTTTAGGAATGTATTTCCCACATGTAAAGAGGTGGCTAGGAGAGATAGTGAGCTCTTTTCTAAAGAATATTAGGTATCCTTGTTTGTAATTTGAACCTCCAGCTGTCTTGTTTTCTATGATATATATCAGAAAAGCTGATCTGAAACTTAAGGTCTGTTCTTTAGCAGGTGCCACTCGGTACTGCCACTGCTTGGCTCATTGTATGTCATTGAAGAGAGAAGGGGTTCTCAGACTAGGAGTCAGTCTCTAGGCAGACTTTCTAAGAAGTGAGATGAGTTTTATAGATTCATTTCTTAATTAGAAAGAATTTATAGTTAAAATTCTCTCTCTCTCTCTCTCTCTCTCTCTCTCTCTCTCTCTCTCTCTTTCTCTCTCTCTCTCTCTCTGTGTGTGTGTGTGTGTGTGTGTGTGTGTGTGTGTGTGTGTGTACTTGCTCGTGTTTTCCAGGAACACCCCAGCCACACCCTGTGTGGGTGTCCATTTGTATTTATTGATTCTGAATACTGTTGCCCTAGTGATCTAATCTAAACAGAATCAGCATTGTGCTCTGCTACTAGTTTTGTCATTCCTGACCCATTCTTTCATTTGTAACCCCGAATACTTGATTTTTCTTCCGTTTTCTTTTTATCAGCTTTTTTCCTTAAATCTTCTAATCTCTATCATGCTTACTGAGTCACTCTTCTCAATGGCCCCATTATTCCTCCATCCACCTTAATTCATTAAGATTTCTGATAGGAATTGCCTGATTACAGCAGAATTCTGAAAGCCCCTCGTGTACCCATGGGAGGCTGGTGAAGATTATGGCGTCACTTTAGCATGTGAGGCTTTATTGAATACTAGAGAATACTCTGGGTGGTGTATGAGAAACTGGTGGAGGCTCCCATCTGAATCCTTCTGTTTTGGTCATCATGTCTGAGTCTTTTTGTTTACTAGTCTCTTTCAGCTACTGTCATTTAAATTAGTCAACATACTGTAGAGGAGGAGTAGAGGTAGATATTCAAGTTCACAGGGTGGGTGCAGGACCCAAACAACTTTAAATGTCTTGTTCCTATCATGGGATTAACTTTTTTAACTTAGGATCAAACTGGCTTCAGTCTGCTCTTGTGATCATCTTAGACTTGTGTTTTCCCTTCCCTTAGTTGATAGATAGATAGATAGATAGATAGATAGATAGATAGATTAAAGTGCCCTATTCCCCTGCCTCTCTATAAGTTTATCTATTCACTCAGGTTCTCATGCACTCATCCACTCTGTTTTACCTATTACCATTTTATTTCAGCCTCTAAAGTGTTAGCTTCACGAGGCAAGGATTTTGTTTTTACTGGCTTATGCTGAGTCAGCTTTTCTAGAAGTCCCTGTTGCCCAATGGGCACTGTTGCATCTGGTTCTCAGAAGCAGGCATTTAGAAAGGTGCACATGTTATCCTCCCTTTCCCTTTCCCTCTCTTTTGGAGAAATGCAAAAGGAGTTTCTGGCTTCTCTAGTTGAATTCTTAGTCTCTCACTGTAATCTTCGTTCTCTTTCTAGAGGTGACTTTGATGGTTTCAGTGCGTCAGTCGGTGGTAATGATAGCCTCCAATTTCCTGTCTGCTGAGGGCCAGTGTCAGGTTAATCAAGATTCTTGATGGAAAACTGTACAGTGCTTTTCGAGTTGCTGTTACTGGATAAACACACTGCCCTTTTTTTTTTTTTTTTTTTTTTTTTTTTTTTTTTTTTTTTTTTTTTTTTGGCAGCAGGTGTTCCTGATAGGGATTTCTCTGTGCCCTTTCTGCTTACTCGAGGACTAAACCTGCCATTTCCAGTCATCTGAGCTTTAAGAAGAAAAAGCTTTGTGCCTTGTTCTTCCTTTTAATGTCATGATTTATTCAGATAGCTGGCTTTAGTTTTTCTCTGTGTGATTCATTGTCTGTGTTTTGTTATATTTTAGTTCTTACTAAAACCAGATGATTGATTGACCTTCAGAAAGCAGCTACATTTTGATGTTAGTCTGTAACCTTTTATCAACTATTTTTTGCAAATAGGTTGGAAAAATGAGACATTTCTAAATTATAGAAAAAATGTTTTCCCATCTCATGTAATACAGTTATAACCATCCTATGTTTCTATTGTCTGACTTGCTATGCACGTCTGAAAATCAGAGTTTGAGCTCTGGAATCTAGAATGGAAAGAGAGACTTGGGTTCCAAACATTGTCCTCTGACCTCCATGTGCATCCTGTCAGGCTTGCCCCCCTCTCCTCCAATAATAATAAACAAAACAAAAATTTAAAGCGGCATTTAAGATGGCTGATTGAAGAATGTAATTTCAATTTTACTGAACCATCTATCTCAAAGGCATTCTTAGGATATACAGTACTCTTTTGGGGGTTCACTTTTAGTAGTTAGTTTAGACAAAGCAAATAATGATTTTATAATTTAAAAATGGAATAGAGATTTAGTGTGTTCTGAACATTGTGTTGTGAAAGGCTTTGGTGTATGCTATTAATTTACTTTTAGAATCCATGATAAGACTTTTGTTTGGCAGTAAAATTACAAACCTTCATTGATGTCAAATTAGACTCAACACTTAAGTATTGTTCATTTGTTTCATACTTAACAAGGATAGTTGACCATGTAAGGTAGTTTCATTGTGAAAAGGAAAAACAAACTATTGTGTTTACAAGGCCCTTTTGGCTAATGAAAAAATTGGATCTTAGATTTTTAGAGTAGTCTTGTGCTTATAGCACAGTGTATTTTTATTCCCTGTGAACCAAGATACTTTTTAACAGCAAGGGTTGATTATCAAATCAATAAGTATTTGAAAAAAAAAGTTAGGAGAGTTTAATTTGTTTAGTCAAAAGAATATTTATAACCTCACTACTACTAATTATTAGCCATTTTTTAACTGAATACTCAATGATAGTCTCTGTAATCCAACTGTGTATTTCTTGACAGCTTTGAGTTCTTCTGTTTGTTTTTTAAGATTAGTTAATGCAGTACATATAACTGTTATACTGGACAAACAAAGCTAGAAGTAGTTGAAGGAAGGGAAAAGTAACCACATCTGTTATTCAGTGTCCTAGTAATAATGTTTTGATATTATATATGTATTTATCACCTTGGACCTGTGCACACAGCACTGTAATCCCAGCGTATGTATTACAATAGTAATGGTAAATTTGGGAGTATAAATTAGATTTTGGGGGTATGTCTGTGTGACAGAAATTCTTATTCTTTACATATAAAGTACATATACACATAAACAAATACATATAACAATTAAATTCAGATTTTATTAGAGAGAGGTAGAATAGGAAAAGCTAAAAAGACTTCTGGGAGCAATGATACAGGAAGAAGGATTGAGAAGCACTACCATAAAGGTTTTGACTGGAATATAGGAAGTCAGAATTTTAGAATTCAACCGGGTTCTGGATTTGCTGTTGTGCTTTTTGTTTGGTTTTTTATTTGTTTGCCCCCTCCTATTTAATTATTCTTGTGCATATAGAGGCATTTTATAAATACACCAGATGTAGTGGTGTGAGAGCACATGTTTCTCTATGTGATCGTCTCTTCAAGGGGAGGGGCAGTCTGCAGACTGAGCATTTCACCTGGCTGTTCCACAGCAACTTCATGAGGGAGAAAATCACACTGGGTTGTTAAACACTTCTTTGATAAACTGAGTAGTTTATCTCCCACTGCTGACTAGTCCACCCTTTCTATGTGGGATTGGCCTGGGCTAGTCCAGCAAGCGTTTTTAGGGTTCCTTTTTAGATCATAGATAAAACAAAGGCCCAATTGTTTTAGTCTCAGAAAAGATGGCCCGGATGGGATGTGTTCCATTTTTAGTTTAACAGGAAATGAAGTAATTTTTGGGGTCATTTTTTAGCACTTTTGTTTATCTGTGGCAGTTTTTTGTCTCCATGGGTACGTATGCTTTAGTCAGTGATAAAAGGCTTGCAGGGAAAGAAGCTTGCAGGGAAGCTTTCCCAACCTCAGGCACATATACTTTTGACCCACAGGGCCTAGAATTTAATGATTTTAAGAGGACCATTAACCTTAGATAACTTGTTTCTTACTTAGGTGCTTCTTGTGTCTTTGTTAGTCTTTTATCCCTTTATTTTCTCAGTTCTGCAGTGTCAAAGGCATCAACTTGTCTTATAGGCTTGTTGGCCTGTGCTGTCTAGTGAAACTCTTTGTTAAGTTTTGGGAAATCTAATTTTTGGTGTGTTACTTAAACAGCAGCAGTATTTTGAGAATAACTCCCAGTTTCTGCTGCCTGTTTGCCATATGCTTTGTGTGTAGCCTTCTGATATTTTCAACAGTTTGTAAAGTTGGTGCTATCGTTTTATGATCAGAGAAACAGTCCTCAAGGCTGGGCATTAGGATAACCATACCTACCTGTAGTAGAACTTAGCACTCAAATATAGTTTGTCCATCACTATCTCCTGTAGTTTACTTGGTAGGTAACAGATGCTTCATATCTCATAATTTGTCTTCTGTTTCTCTTGTTAACGCAGTAGACCTTATGGGAGGCTTAGGTACTCTTAAAATTAGGACTTTCTCCCCTCAACAGTTTCTGGGTTTTCTTTTTTGTTTTTGTTTTTTGGGTTTTTTTGTTGGTTTTATTTTGTATTTTGTTTGTTTTCTTTCTGAATCTTATAAGATAGCTTCTTTTAGAAATTGAGTAAAATTTCAGTATTTTCCCTTTAAAAAAAAACTCTGATTATGTTCCTCTTGTTACCAGGAAATTGAATGGAAACAAAAACACCATGGAAACTAGCTGAAAAATGTTGCTGCTGTACTTCACCACAACTTCTGTTTTTATTGTATCAAATTAAATAAAATTATCCTGCCTTTGCAGTGTAGCAGTAGATCTGTATGTCTCTTCACTTACTGTGTACAAAGGCAGACATGAGACTAACACTTCTCCCCAGACAGTCATTTTTCTAGAGCAACTGTGCAGTAGTAAGCTTTATGGATGCATCTGCACTGTTTTATCCCTAGATCTATATCCCCCAGCCTTTTGCTTTAAAAAATGAAGACTCCTTAATTCTTCATGTTTTATTTGAGACTATATAGGGATTAAAAACCTATCTTGAGCCTGATAGTGTAACTCTGCCAATCTTAAGTGTTTTGACCACACACTTGGTGAGACAAGTACTTTTTTTTTAAAGATTTGTTTTATGCAGATGATTGTTTTGCCTGCATGTGCATGTGTGCCTACATACACATGGAGATGTCGTAGTTGCTGTTCAGTTATTGTGGCAGAGACGATAGCCAAGACCAACTTAGAGAAGAAACAGTTTATTTGGTGCTTATGGCTTCAGAGATTGAGTCCATGATTATCATGGAAGGGAACATGGTAACAGACAGGCAGGATGGTGCTAAAGTAGTAGCAGATAGCTCACAGTTTGATCCACAAGGAGGCAGCAGAGAGAGACCTAACTGGGAATGGTGGCGGCTTTTGAAACCTCAATCCTGACCCCAGTGATACATCTCTTCCAATAAGGCCGCACTTCCGAATCCTTCCCAAACAGTTCCACCAACTAACTACCACTTGTTCATTCATATGAGCTTGTAGGGACCAGTCTCATTCAAACCACTACTCTCTACTCCCTGACCCCTATAGGCTGGTGGTCTATAATGGAAAATTATACTCTCTTCACAGAGTCAATGTCATTTCAAAGTCTAAAGTCTCTTCTGAGACTCAACACAGTCTCTTAACTGTAAACCCCTGTAAAATCAAATTAAAAAAATCAAATTACATACTTAAAATATATAGTGGCACAGATTATATTTATCACCATTCAAAAGGGGAGGAATGGTGGTATAGTGAGGAAAAACTGGACCAAAGTAAGACTGAAACCCAGTGGGACAGACTCTCAAATCCTGTTGTTCAGTGTCTGATGTCAAAGGGCTTAGATGGCACCACCCTTCTAACTTTGCTGACTGCAACACACTTCTCTCTCTTGGACTGGTTCTACTTCCTGTATGTAACCCTTTCTGGCAGACATCCATGGCGCTGGTACCTCCATCATCCTCAGGTCTCCAGTGTAATCCAGGCTTCATTTTCACAACTTTATGCAGTGGTCTCTCAGGGCTTCTACAACACTCCCCCACCCCCACCCAGACAATGGAAGAAGATTCTACAACCCTTTTACCCTGTATCCTTCCTGACTCTATATCCATAACCCGCGTGATCAATGCTACCAAATTAGACTGCCTGCTTGGGATGGAACATAGCTGCCTTTTTGAATACCATTTATGTAAGCTTTGTTGTACTTTTTAAGAACAGATAATTCCTTATGCCTTTACTTGTTGGAAGCTTAGCTAGGGTCCAGCTGTGCCCAAGGGCACCAGTCCCTTTATTCCATTTCACATCCTTATGTCTTTCATTACAACCCTTGGTTCCAACATTGCATTTCTTGATGTTCTTTTTCTCCTCAGACTGTATATTTTGTATTTATTTTTGCTTGCTTTGTCATTTTCATTATAGATCTGCTTAAGAATGGTCACTAATAACATAATATTAGACCGCCTTCAAATCTCCTCTGCCAATAAAATTAGCCCAAAACTCTCCAGTTTAGCCCCAGCTAGATTCTGGGACAAGATCAAGGCTTACCAAACCGAGTTAGAACTGAAATAACAACAGGAAGAACAGGGATAAGGGAGGAGCAGCACAGAGAGCCCTGCACCACCATACAGTAAATCAAGACTGTAGCACGGTTAAAAGGATAAGCTTTTATGCAAGCCAAGGTCCAAAAGTTATATAAGAATTGCCACTCCCAGATACTTTCTACCTGTCTCAGCCACTAAGACAATAAGCATGTCAATCCAATCACCTGGCTCAAATAAAGATGATGCAATGTTGTGGCTACAAGCCCAACTCAGAAAAGGCAAACATGAAGCGGTCTGTCCTTCCTACTATACAGAGCAGCAGGCACCACGTGACCTGAGGCTAAACAACTGCATGCCACTTCAAGCTCCACCAGAGCCAGACTTCTAGGACAAAGCAGCACAAAGCTTCTGTAGGTTATGTATTCTTACAGAACAAGACTGTCTTCTCCACGCTTTCCTACCTTTTCAGAATTAAGTATTTCCAAAATGGAGATTATATTTAACAGAGCATGTACTGCTTTTTCTCAATTTTCTAACACTGATCTCAAATAGCTATTATATTCTGCTCCTACCACTTTGAGGGAGACAGGGAAAGAAAAATAATTTTTTTGCTCGCTATTTGTTAAAGATATCATCGATATTTGGGAATAACAATAAGAAAGTAAAGAATAGAATTTTATGAAACTGGGAGAGAAAAGTTTTCTTTCAGGAGGAGAAATCTTGTGTGCCACGAAGAAAGCTGAACTGACCTGCTAGGGTTCTTCTTTCATCAGTAAACTCAATTTTCTTTGCTGCCTGTGCTTTTTCTAGGTCATGACTGCTGTGAGACGGTGAAGGTGCTGCTCTGTGCTTCAAGAAGGGGCCTGCCCGTGTTTATAGTAGCTGAAGAAGACTTCCATTTTGTTCAGGATGAGGCATATGATGCTGCTCAGTTCCTGGCAACCAGTGCTGGCAATCAGCAGGCTCTGAACTTCACTCGTTTCCTCGCTCGGTCAGGACCCCCTTCTGGAGATGTCAATTCTCTCGATGAGAGGGTGGCACTGGCCTTCAGACACCTGAAACTGCCAGCAGAGTGGAACGTCTTAGGGGCAGATCACACCTTGCATGGTGAGAATTCACACGACTCACAAACTGCTTTGGGATGCTTCTGCTTTTGAACAAGCTCTATGTTCAAGTTTCCTGCATGGCTGAGTAAATTAGAATGCCTATACAGAGTACTCTCTTCTCCCAATGACGTAACCTAAGAAGACTGGCACATCTCTGTGGGCCTGGCTTTCCTTTTTTTTAATTAAGGCAGGTTATTTATACTCCATGAGGAAAATAGCTGTTTATTCACAAAATTATAAGTACAAGCTTTTTGTTTCTGTACCCTGGGTTTCTGTAAAAATACAGTGGAGTTGTTGGAAAGCAGCTGTAAGGAAGTGTGTGTTACGATAAATCTTTCTGCCAAAAGCTGCCATGCCCCACCGCCACGTGTGCGCTCTGCCCCAGCCGCCTGCCCGAGTTAGGCCTAAATAAATACACAGAAACTGTATTAGGTTTAAAGCTGCTTGGCCAATGACTAGGATTCCTCATCTGTTAGCTCAGTCTTAACTATCATAAATCTATATATGTTATAAGACTTATCTTATCGGAAGCCTTATTGGCATCCCTCCTTGTCGTTGGATCACATCCTGCTGCTGGAGGAGGAAGGGGAAAAGAGGGCCCTTCCTGTTTCTCTTTCGCTTAAATATGAGTCTCCTTGCTATGTCACTTCCTGCCTGGATCAGCACTTCTCTACTACATTTCCCAGAATCCTCTTTGACTCCTAGTTCCATCTAACTTGCTATCTCATTGGCCAAACAGTATTTTATTTAACAAACAATAAGATAAACATACACAGTAGTACATTCCCCATCAAGTGTGTCAGGGAAGCATGAAATCAAGGTAGCGTTGAGGAATTCCACAGTTCCTTGCTAAGGGTATTGATTCTATGGCTCTCCATATAAAGGTTCTTAAAGAACCACATTAAAAAAAAAAAACACTTCTGTTGTAATAAATACTTAATAAACCCTCCTAATTAGACAAGGGTTTCCCCATATAATTATTCTTACAGCAAATGATATCTAGATATTGTGATTACAAATACCTGTTTTTTAGTAAAATATTCCTGGGTTCATGAATAACATCCTGTTCTATCCTTAGTGTAAATCCAATTGAAAAACATGTAGAAATCTCCCACATAGCACTCAGAATGTTTTTTCAATACTGGTGAGAGCTCCATTGGAAGAGTGGCAGTCAGGCTTCTGACAGAAGGGTTTGCTTACACTTTGTACTTATCTCTAAAAGAGCATATGATCCTACGTGGTGTTTGGAGTCCACCCAGCTTCAATTATACTGCTGTGTTGGGTGAGCAGAGCAAAAGTCTGCCTTTCCGCAGATGAGAGGAGGAGTTAGTTCCTAAAGACTGAAGCCATGCTTAGTTCCTGTTCTTCAGGCCAGTCAGATAAATTGACTCTTCCTTGATCAAATTGAAAGGAAATATTTGCTGGCATTGATTTTATTAAATCAAGCTTAAAGATAAGCTGTGAACAAACAGCAGAACGATATGCCCCATGCTCCTGAGACATACTGATGGTGGTAACAAATGCTGCCAAAGCTGGATTGTTCAGGTAAAACAGAAAAATGTATGGACAATCAAATCTAGAAGGAAACTGTTTTTTTTTTTTTTCCCCAGTTATTAGTACAGTACCCAAGAAACATCTGTACTGCTAAGATATTAAGGTCCAAATATGTGACATTTAGAGCCTGAATACCTATTGATGGATCCTGATTCTTTTTAACAGCTCCTGCCATTTCTATATTGATGTGGGAACAATTATTTTTAGAGTTTTATCCTGTCTTATTTAAAGAGGGCCCAGGACTTAGTTTGATCCTGTTCTGGTAATTAAATAGAACAATGAGAGAAACAAAGGTCAAAAGCTCTAGGCCTTGGGTTCCCATGTCTTTTTGTTTTTAAACACCCCCTACCAGTACGTGCCATGTGTGTGTGCATGTGTGCGAGTGTGTATTACAGTAGATTTTGTGACCTGCCCAACATGGATGCTGGGATTTGACCTCTGGCTTCTGTCAGATCCAGCAAATACTCTTAAATGCTGAGTCATTTCTCCAGTCCCTTTCTTGCTTGTCTTTGGTCAGAGGAAACTGGCAAGCTTTATTCATTGTATACTTTTAGGAATAAGAAAATATTATTTCATACTTGATACAGTGAGTATTATGGTTTGGATATAAAGTATTGGCAAAGGCACCTTTGTTGGGGCTTGGGACCCAGTTAGTGTTGTTGAGAAACAGAAAATTGGATCATGGGGCAAGTAGATTAATCCATTGATGAGTTACTGGCTGAATGAACTATTAGGTGGTAGGCCTGTTTGAAGGAAGTCCTTTACTGAGGGTGTACTTTGAAGAGTACATCATGTCACTGGCTTTTCCCCTTTCTACTTCTTGGTCACCATGAGCTTAACTGCTTTCTTCTACTATGCTGTTCTGCTGAGATTTACTGCCTCATAGTAGGCCCATAAACAATGGAACCATTCACAGACTGAAATTATGACCCAAAGGAGATGTGGCTCAGTTGGTAGAGTGCTTGTGTAACATAAATGAAGAACTAGGGTCAATCCCCAGCACCTGTATAATGGGTGTGGTGAAGCTCACGTGTTTTTCCAGACATAGAAGGTGGTAGATATAGGAGTTCAAGGTCATCCCCTGCTACATAGAAAGTCCATAGTCAGTTTGGGATATATGAGGCCTAGTCTCAAAAAAAAAAAAGAATCACTTGTTTTCAGTTATGTGAATACCTCACATTTTGTCATAGTACCCAGAGTTGTTGATGCAAGCAGCTAAAGTTAAAAAGATGAAGTCTGGACATGAATGCAGAATAATATCTCCCATACTGCTTGTAGAAATGCCAACTTCGAAGAAGTTTAGTAGTTCTCTATCAGCTAAAATTCCACTTTTTGGTATTTACCCTAGAAAAATGAAAGTATATCTTCACCAAAATGTGTATATACAAATAGGCCTACAGTAGCATTGATCATGTATCACTAGAAACAGTTCACATCCCTCTCTGAGTGAGCATACTAGCCAATTGTGATATAGCCACACAATTGATTACCACTCAGCAATTCAAAAGGAACAAAACATTGATAAATATTCGGCAGCTTGGATGTACTCTGAATGCAAAGTTTATGGTAATCCTCCCACTAATTGTTGAGATACAGTGCTCTTCACCCCAACTCTCACCCCCAGGTCAGTGACTCCTTTGGAAGTAGTTCATATTTCTCCTTGGGGGGGGGGACTGCATATAGCTGCCTACTCATATACATTTACATGTAACAATTTCACAGCCCTTCTAAACCTTGGGCATGAAGTTAAGAAACCCTGGCTTAGTTTGGGGTTTTTAAGTGGAAAGAAATAAGGGAACTGGAGTTAACTTGTTATATCCTGGCTTCTGTATGGAAGTTTATGGAAAACATTAAATTCTTAATTTTTTCATCAATGAAGTGGGCAGGAGTGTAGCCTGGTTTGTAGGCTGGTTGTTTTGAATATACCATGGCCACTATTTCATTACCTTTCAAGGCACAAAACATTAATAAACCTTGACAGGTCAAAAACAACTCTCTGAAAGGGTAAAACAGGCCAGTCCTAAGAGGAAGGTTCTGCAAAGAAAAATGGGATTGGTTTCCTTTGCTCTTACTTTTTTGCTGAAGTTAGCCTTAACTTTCAATTTGACCAAGAAGAAATTTTGTTTTTTATTCTTTAAAATATTTTATTATTTATTTACTCATTCCTTCATTTGAGATGAGACTTTACTATGTAGTCCTGGCTATCTTGGAAGTTGCTGTGTAGACTAGCTTAGAATTCATAGCGAACCCCCGGCTCTGTCTGCTGAATGTTAGTATTAAAGATTCACTCAACTATACCAGTGATGTTTTATTTGTTTTTATTTTTGCATGTGAGTGTTTTGCTTGGGCCAGAAGAGGGCATCAGATTCCCTGGAACTGGGAGTTACAGATACTGACCTGTGGGTGCTGGCAACTGAATCTGGGTTCTCTGAAAGAGCAGCAAATGCTCTTAACCACTGAGCCACTACGGCACTTGTCTATTTTGTTTCTTCCAAATGTTCTCTATTCTTCAATTTATATAAGTCTGCACACTGCCCTCTTTGCCACTGCCTAAACTTCAAGTAAAAGTTCATCGGGGTGGAAGGTGAGGTGTGCAGCACAGATGTTCTATTTATTTTTTCTGAATTTTCCAAGTTCTATTTAGTTGCTTTAGTTCAGTGTCTTTGTGGCTAGAGAGCATGTAAGTTGAGTAGTTTCTCCTGGAAGAAAGTTGTATCATACCAGTCAGTCAAACTCAGGTAGCTTAGAATGAACCCATTGAATATTTTCTATACAGAAAGCAAGGAGAAACACATCCCAGTGGATGTTTCTATCCTGTGTCCTCTTGGGATTATATAAAGAAGTGAAAGTTAGGTGTAAGTGTCTCTGAGGGTGGCAGTCATTCCCACAATTTTGTTAGAGATGATTATAGGTTTAAGGAGAATGCCCTAAGAACAGGCACTGCATCCTTACTGGTTGACTTTGGTTGTTAGTAGATACTCAACCTTAATCATATGGTGATATAGTTTCTACAGCCCTTTCAGGGTGTTTGATAGCTCTCCACATAAAGTTCATCCTTGTTATACTAGCATTTGTGTTTTTCCAGCTATCTTCTCTGCTAAAGAAGAAAAGAATAAAATGTAGAAAGATGCTTTGGATTTTCCCCTGTCTTGGCAAAGGATTAATGGACTCCTAAGACAGGCAGTACCTATCAGCAGGAAGGCTCAGGCTCTGAAAGGTTTTGTTGCCTCCAAGACCTTGTCACAGCCATTCTCGTTTTTCTTAAAAGCTCATTTTCTGCCCCCAGCCTGTTAAGGATTCTTCCACTCCTTGTGAATGTAAAGATTCCTACTTCTTGTGGGTCTGCAGGTTTATTTATAGACCTGTACTCAGAAGTAGACAGGGCAATGACTTTGGACTCTCATGGCTACAGATTCAAACAGTACTGTGAGGAGGGCTTGTTGAGTAGATTGATAGGCTAGGACAGTACATGTAGTCCTTGATTATCACACCATCCAAAGAATCTAATAGCTGTTTATTCAGGAAATGTAACTTGAAAAATATTAAAATCTTCCAGCAGACCCCTTGTGGTCGAATGCCTCCTGGGTATATCAGCTTTCGAGCGGCTCTGGGGAGCTGTGTGAAAGTGCACCCAGCATGAGAGCAGATAGCAGCTGAAGCTTACAAACCTTTCTGTGGTTTAGCCACACCATGATAGACCTTTGCATATAAGTGTGGTTGTTGCAGTTTGAACCTAGAATGATCCCACAGTTCTGAATGCTATTTTTAAGGTTATAGAGCCTTTCAATTTGGACTCGCTGGTAGAAGAGGTCACTAGGGGCAGGTCTTTGGAGATGATACCTGCCTCTGGTTCTAGCCCTGGTCTAACTGCTGTCCTATGTGCTGTCATATGAACAAGCTTTGGCTACATTCTCTCACTGCCATGTTTCCCTTGCTATGACTGGGTAAAAGTTCTGATACCAAGAGCCAAAATAAAGCCTTTGTCTCTTAGTTGTTTGGTCAGGTATTTTGATCATGACTTTGGAAGAAAAAATTAGTACAGTGGTCAAAAAGGAACACAACCAACATGGGTCCTATGAGATAACTCAGGCCCTAACTGTACCTGGAAGAGAAACATTCAGGAGGGCAAAGATGAAGAGGAATTGTTAGAAACACTGCAAGAACATTCTGATTCCCTTGTTAGAATTAAATTCTATTGTGATGAAGAACCCAAATAACATGATAGGAAGTCTAGCTAGCAACCTAAAAACAAGAAGTTGGGAGCTGAGGAAGTGGCTTGGGGTAAAGGCCTTGCAGCACAAACATGACAATTTGAGTTTGGATCCCAGCACCCAGTAGAAAGCCAAGTGTGTTGGCTCACATGTCTAATACAGTGCTGGGAGGTGGAGACAGGCAGATCAGATCCTGGGAGCTCCTTGGCCACCATGCCCACAAGCCTTCCCAACCTACCCCCACAGACGTTTTAGTAACTCCTGAAATAAAGAGGAAGAAGACCAAGAATCATGGGTGGAGGAACCATAGCAAATGAAAATTGATGTGAGTTATCGGTACTCTGCACTTAAACTTGAGATGAAAGGAGGTAGAGGTTAAGGTTAGATCTCTTATGCTATTATAGCAAAACAGTCTAGATGAAACTCCGTTGGTATTTTAATCTTTTTCTCCCTTTTATCTTTGCCTCCTCTTTTTGAACCTAATTCACAAGACTCATGTGAAGAGCCAATAAAATATGGAAAAGAATAAGTGGCTATTTAATCAATCTGAGATACATACATGTGGTGACGGTACTAAACAATAAAATAGAACACCACATGCCAGCTGTATGGAAAATTTCAGGAAAGATGGAAGTAGCCTCATACAAAAACATTTGCTGTATCATTTCATTTATATGGACTTTTTGAAAGGCAAAACCCACAAAGAATTCAAAGCAGTGGTTGACTCTAGTAATGAAGCTTTAGTTGGAAAAGAGCATAAAAGAACTTTGCTTAATGTTTATAATATCCTGTATTTTAATGTGAATTTGATTTAACACAGGTATCAAATGTGCCAGGTGCATGCCCATGACTTTAATCCCAGCACTTGGGAAGCAGAGGCAGGCAGATCTCTGTGAGTTCGAGACTAGCCTGGTCTACAAAACAAGTTCTAGGACAGCCAGAGCTACATAGTGAGACTATATGGATATACTGTTATACTGCATCACTTGTATTTTCCTATATCTTAGTCATTTTAGCTTCTAACCATGTATTGAATTCTAGTTGGTGGCACCCATCAAGTCATTCTGATATCTTCAATTTCCTTTGAAATATGTGAACAGGAAGGTAGATTGATGAAACCTGGAAGGAAAGATAGTTGATAAAGCACATACATTGATGGGAGAACACTTACTGTAGGACCTAAGTAATTGAATATCTGGCAATTGTATAATCCTTTCAGTTTATATGAATTTGAAATGATAATAGAAAATGAGGGGTGGGATTGAGAAGTGGGGATGACATAAGACTCAAGGTGATCGTCTTCATGGTAACTCACCTGGTGTGGAGGCTGGAAAGAAAGCCACTTTGAGGAGCTATTGCCTAATAAGGCTGGAATTAACCGGCTCTGAAAAAATGCCCGCATATTTCCTAGTCCATAAGTGCTTAGTGCTTTGGTGTTTTGATAAGGTTGTCCAGAGTGTTATGAACAGCATAAAGCACAAGTCAGATGTGTTTAATCCTCGATGAGAATTCTTTGTCTTTTCCCCTGGCCTTGCTACTAACTTGGAGTGTGTGTTTATTAAAATTTATGCTTGGGAACATAATTATTTCTTCAAGGACATTATTTTCTGTGGGCTTTTTAGTGATTGGGGTTTGGGTCTTAGAGTACTGAGTGTTAAATCAGGCCCCAATGTAAGCTCAGAAGTCTGCTCCAGAGCTATTTTTCCAGTCCCTGAAACATTAATTTCTTTTCTGTCTCTGTCCCTGCTTGAACTCATTTCAGTCCTGAGATGATCCTATGTATTAAAAAGACCAATTTGCCTTTAATGAAACTGTGTTGGTCATAAGGTAATATTACAAGTGATATTAGGAAACAGTGCAGTCAGAGCGCTATCTGGAGAGATCTCTCCGTGATTAAGTGCTCATACTATGTTTGCAGAGGACCTGAGTTCAGTTCCGAACACTCAAGTCAAGTTGTTCACAGTTGCCTGTAACTCCAGTTCTAGAAGACTCAATTCCCTCTTCTCCGAGGAACTTGAATCACTTGCAAAAACCCCTGCAGTTCATTGTAAAGTCACATCTTTAAGGATGTACTCATTCCTGTTGTGATATTCACATATAGAACCATCTGCAGATTTTGGAGTAAAGGAAAATGCTGGGATCCATCCAAGAAGTCTGAGAATACTAAGTAATGAAGTTGAGACCCAGAAACTATTAAGAATAAGAGATGGAAGCCGAGCTGAGAGGAGAAAGGAAAGCACAACACCCGGAGCTGAGCAATGTCACATGTGGAACCACAGGCAGCATCTCCTCCTTGGTCCTAGCACCTGTCTTCACAGTCCAGCACAACACGATGAGCTAGGAAAAGTCTTGCTAGTGAAGTTAACATGTAATTTGACGCCCAAGAACAGGGCCAGAAGCAGAGAAAGGGAGGAGAACTGGTACTAATGAGAACCCTACCGCTTGTTAGTCTAGCATTTCATCTTCCCCTCTCTGTTACAGCTCTGAGAAGTGATGGTGTCTTGCTCCAAGGATATGAAAGTGAAGGTCAGGGAGGCAAGTGAATTATGCCTAGTCACACTGATGCTTAAGGCCAGGCTTGCACCCACTTTTGCCTGCCTGGTCTAAAGCCTTTTCTCATCCTACCCACTTTCTTGGTGACCCAGTGTACCAAAAAAAGGATCCTTCATTTCCAGTGAAATAAACCCAAGCACATGGTGAGGTTTATTAGTGTAGTTTTACAGTTGGTCTCATTGTACCTGGAGATTCATTTCATTTTCTCATTAAGCAAACACAAAGCTGGTAGTACCAGCAATTTGATATGCCCGTAGTGTGAAGGACTAAAGACCTGTGTGTACTTAACAAGTCAAACCTGTTTTCAGTGTTTAACTAGCCAACTCCTGTTTTTAGTGTCTAACTAGCCAACTCCTGTCTGAGCGTTCTTTAAAAAATAATTATACCCTTCAGGACATACCCATCTAAGTCCTGACAACTGTTCATCTTAGATCCCCATCATATAGAAGGAGCTGCGTTTACTTTGGTTATTGCCTTTGTTTGCCGTTGTTTTGTTTGTTTGTTTGTTTTTTATGGAAGGAACATAATGTACCTCCCTGAAAAGGTACAGAAATGATTTGGTTGGTTCTCTCTGTGGGCATTTGTCTCCTAGTGAAGATTTAATGTCATAATTTCTTTCTAGCTTTGTTGCCTTTACTTGAAAAGGGGTTTTACCTGGAATAAAGTTGTTTGCTATAGTTTGCCTTCAAGATCCTAGATACTTGGAGGCAACCATATCTCCCTAAACTCATCTTTTTCTGTTGTAGTGGTTTCTTTGGTCTTTGTTGGTGAATATATATATATATATGTATATATATGTATATATATGTATATATATGTATATATATGTATATATACATATATATATATTTATATATTCATTCTTATGTTTATGTTCTTCCCCATTTACAGATGATGGCCCTCGGGAAACATTGATGCATTTTGCTGTGAGACTGGGACTGTTGCGGTTGACATGGTTCCTGTTACAGAAGCCAGGTGGCCGTGGCGCGCTCAGCATCCACAACAAGGAAGGGGCAACACCCGTAAGCCTGGCATTGGAACGAGGTTACCACAAACTCCACCAGCTTCTGACTGAGTAAGTGTTCATTCCTGTCTCACTCTTGTCTTAGCCCCACCCCATACTTCAAAGTAGTACAGCCCACTGGCTCTGTATCTCGCCTCTTCGCCTGCTCTCCTGCCTCAGAGGTCTGTGAACTTGCTCCTGCTAACTGCTTCATTGTTGAGAGGCCAGTGTGAGTCATGTTACCATTTTTCTTTCTCTTGTCTGTTTGTGTCTCTTCTGTTTTCTCTGCTTCTCATTGCTCGTATTTTATTGAGAAGTCAGAATGAAGTCCTGTCTGTGGAAGCAGTGTTGTTAGTGTATATTTTATATGATTGATGGAAGACAGTTTTGCTATGTCACACTTTTATTTCTAGTATGTCTTCAAGACATGAATGAGTGATTAGGAATTAATAGCTAGATGATATAATTGTATAGAAAATACAGTAAAAAACTGAATTTTGGGTTGTATACAATTTATGTGAATAAAGTTAAAAAGCAGCAGTTTCTTATGAGTAGCAGCTAAAAGCAATTGCATTGTTGTGGAAATATGCAGTAGGAAATCCTGTTTGTCTTAGAGTTCAGTTCTTGTTTCTTTGGAGACTTTTTTGGAGGAAGACTAGTAGTCAAAACATAGAAGTTTTTTTTTTTCCCTTTATAAATAAAGGAATAAATAGAGTTGCAATGCTTTTTCATTGGAATATTTTGTGCTTAATATATTTTTACTAGTTTTATGATCATCATTTTTCTGTCATATTATAATGAACTAAACTGTATCAGTTCCTTGTTCTTTAGTATGAGGGATCCTTGTAAACTGAGGCAGTATTTCCAGATACTTTGCCTTGCTTGAGTTAGATTTAATTTAGTTGCATTTCATGTCTCTCTCTGTCTCTGTGTGTGTCTTTGTCTCTCTCTGTCTGTCTGTCTGTCTGTCTGTCTCTCTCTCTCTTTCTCTCCTTCTCCCTCTCCCTTCATTTGCCAAGTTTATAACTTTCCCAGTCAAGCCAGGCACAAAGGTCCTTGCAGACAGCTTTGCAGTGGGTGCAATGACACAGTAGTGGAAGGAGGGGCACCCTTCATCTTGGATGAGCTTTGGATACCTGAGCTTTCTTATGACTATTCCAGAATGTGGTCTATTATGTTCCTTCATACTTACTGTCTGGCTAGTGTTCAGTTTCATTCTGTCGTTTGCCTCATGGTTTCAGGGAGGCATTTCTTTAAAAATGGAAGCAATTAACTCAGAATATCTGTTAGGATTTTTAAATGCAGTTCCTCCAGATTTGATATTACAGCTGAGTTTTTGCTTGGAAGCTGTGTTTGTTATGGACTGCCATCCAAATGGGGAAATAAAATGATTGCAACAGATTCATTATATGTTTGGACCAGGGTGTCACAAGACAGTTATTGCAGCATGACTTTAAGAAAGTTGGAATATATTTATTCTTGGAGATTTTTGACTTTCTTCAAAATACAACCTCTGTTATTTACAGAAAAGTAAATGTCACTAATGCTTCTTTTTAAAGGGAGAGCGGTGAGGGAAAAATCAACCTGAGAAATGGAAGTAGAGGACTTTGGTAAGACTGTGACTACCTCATTGTAGGTCCCTCTTCCATAGCACGAATTCTGCTGGGTAGTTACTGTTTTGAAGCCAAGGAAAAGTGCTGAGTCATAGCTGGCAATTTAAAAAGTAGATGTGATTCTCCTAGTTCTCTTAGTTGAATCTAGTAGGCTTTGCTAGAACTCAGCCATGATGGTGGGTGGGTCAGGAGAGATCATTGTTTTCTCTCTATTGTGGACACACACACTCTAAAATGTTAGTTTTAATTATATAACTCAATGTTATGTAACCATTGCCACTATCCATTTCTAGAACCTACCACAAACTCACAGAAACCCTGTGTACATGTAGCGTCAACTCTGCATTCACTCTTTCCCCATCCCCTGGTAACCTCTGTTCTACTTCCTATCTCCAAGAATCTCCACTCTAGGTACCTCACATGAGCAGAACACAGAGTGTGATCCTTAAGATTCAGCTGTGAGCCAGGCCTGCTGGTACACACCTTTAATCCCAGGCAGGTGGTTCTCTGTGAGTTCAGGGCCAGCCCAGTCTACATAGTAAGACCCTGGCTCAAAAACAAAAATGATTCAGCTGTGTTATATAGTATGTATTAGAATAAATGTTATGTTAAGCCTTCTAAAAGAGATTCAATACTTTCATCATAAAAAAAGTGGTAGATAAGGTGATGAATATGTTAAGTGGGATTTTTAAATAGTTTTTATACCGTATATATCTATCAAAATAGTTATGCACCATAAATATGCAGGTTGGTTTTTTTTTTTTTTTTGAGGGGGCAGTTTTAAAAGGCCCAAATGAAGTTAAAAGATAGAAGCAACCTAAATGTTGACTAACAGATAAATAAACACAACATAAACAAAATGTGTGTGCACAGGTAGGTTATTATTTATTAGAGAGGAAGCAGGCAAATCACCTCAAAGAGGCAACTTAACTGATTTATGGTAAGAAGGTAGTGAGTCTGAAATAGGTGACAAATCTAAGGGATTGTTCATTGCTTTCTGCTTGTGGGATCCTTACAAAGAGTCTGAGGAATAGACTTGGTAGGGCCTGTAGAGAATACTGCAGAGCTTATGGACATTCCTGAGTAAAGGGTTTGTTTTAGGAGACTCACAAAAGTTTATTTTGAAATTGAAGAATTGCTGACTGCATGTTGCTTACTTTGCAGTGTATACTAAAAATCTTTAGACTTTGTATATGACTGTCTGACCTCGCATTTTAGTTTTCTTCCACACAGACCTGCCTGATCCAGCCTGTCTTCTCCTCTCTCTCCATCATTCCTTTTCTTTCCCCTTCCTTTTGTGGTACTGGACATTGAGCTCAGGGCCTTAGGAATGATAGGCACGCACCTTTTTATGTATATATGTAGCATGCTTACCAGTGGAGGGCAGAGGCTTCACATGCCGACTTCCTCTATTGCTCCACCTGAAAGATTTTTGTCAAAGTAGAGTTTGTTTTTTTTTTTTTTTTTTTTTTTTTTTTTTTTTTTTTTTTTGTTGTTGTTTTGTTTGTTTTTGGTGCCTTTTTTCCACCTGCTAGACTGACTGGGCAGCATCCTGATACTCCTGTCTCCACTGTGAGCACTAAGGTGACAGACCTGAGCCCATCATGCCTGGCTTTTTATGTGGGTGCCGGAAATAGGAACTCAGATCTATTGCTTGCACAACAAGCACTTTACTGAAACATCTCTCAGCCAAGGCCTTCCTCTTTTATCACTTTTTTTTTTTTTAAATTAGTACCAGATTGAAGAAGGATTATATACTTAAAAGAAAAATCCAAACAATTAAATAGCTATTTACATTCTAGTTTGTAATGGTTAGTGTTAGGAATAAAGCAGCTCCTGTTGGGACCACATGTGGCAGGTCCCCAGTCCCAAGGCGCAGCAGGTAATGGACAGTGGGCAGATGGGAAGCAGAGACCTGTAAACGTGACTCATATTGAAATTTTTATTGAAGGAGAGGTAAGAAAATTGGGGAATGGAAAAGAGGTAAAGAGACACAGAGACAGGACAGAAAAAAAGGGAGGGGGTAAGACAGAAAAGGTTCTGTCTGCCCTTCAGAGGAATGGCGTGGGGGGAGGCACAAGTCGGTGGAGGTCTTTCTCTTAAAGAGCCAGGGTATATACACCCGCCATATGCAGGTGGGTGAGAGGCGGGGCCAGGTTTGCCTGGATGACAACACTTAGAGTAATTGTTAACTTGACAGAATGTACACACTCACCCGGGAGATGAGCCTCTGGGCATGTCTGAGGGAGATTATCTTGACTGCATTTATTGAGGTAGGAAGAACTGCCTACTGTTGATGGTACCATTCCCTGACTGGGGTCCTAGACTGTATAAGTGGAATGAATACAGAATGACCAGCTATTTCATGTTCCCGAAAATGCTTTGCTACATTACATGGTGATCTATTTGAAAGTTTTGTAAAATTGTGTGTAACATCATTAATATAAGGCCACTAAACTGTACAGCTCAATTCACTTAATTGGTCTGCTGGGAATTATTTTTGTAATATATATCATGGTTTTCTGGAAGTTAAAATTAGTAGAGAAATGGAGAATGTGAAGTCTTCCTCCGTGAGGCAGTATCACAGGTTGATTTTAAAATAATGTGCATTGCTTCTGTCTTTAGAAGAAAAGAATTTCTTTTAAGATTGTCAACTCTAGAGTGTTGACATAAAGTTCTCAGGTATTTCAATTGCTATTAAGAGCCAGTTTACAAGTATTTATCTTCATAAGCTTTATCTGATTTGTAGTATTGTTTTAACACAGTTATTTGTTGAATGACTGTGTTGTTCTGGAATCCATAGGTAGTACATTGCAGACACTATTTTATTTTAGCCTTACAATGACCTTTCTGAAGAAAATGTTATTTGTGATTTATGGATGCAAAATGGGTGCTCACAGAACTAAAATAACTACTGAAGGATACACAGAAAGTGGTTTTACACAGACATCAGTGGAAGTACAAGGCCAATATTCTTCCCTGTATAGAAATTTGACACAGAGAGAAGAAATTCAGGGAGAGACAACAAGCTTGCAGATTTGAATAGTGCTTAACTATAGAAGGGTCGTCTACTTTCTATTTAGCCACAGCCTCTGCATGGAGAACACAAGAACCTCACTGTAATAACATTACAGTTACAAGACTCATTAGGATTTTTAAGGTATGATTGGTTACTCTTATAATATTGTCTTCCTTTTGAGTTTCATAAAAGCCTGATGAGTGGGTAGAATAAATACTATTGTCCCTATTCTATAGTTGTGGAAACCGAGGTGCAGGAAATGAAGTTCTTTGCCCATAGTCACAGGCCCATAAAGTAACACCTTAGCTTAGCCTGAAGTTTCCTGATGACATTTGTAAATGTGCAGGACTCAGACCCCCATAAGTACGAAATACTCAGTCACAGGCTGTTGTAGTAGGCAGTATTAGCCCTTCTCAGAGGGTTTATGCTTATAAGTTTTA